GAATACTTTGAAATTGACAAGAGCATTTTGGAGTGAAGAAAAGGGGAACAAGTATTTATGGACACCTGCTATGGATCACCACTGTATATCGCCACATTTCACTCCCACAACTCCAAGAAGTAGGACTCGATCCCTATAAGAGAATCATAAATTACATGCAGCATTTTCTAACCTTGTTTCATTCAAGCCTTCCCCATAGCTCTGCTTTTGACTCCACTATATAGAAGAAACTGAGATACAAATAGACCAAGATGCTAAAGGTCAAAAATGGTAGAATATTGGCAATTTAAATTGGTACAACCTAATAATTGACAGAACAAGGAATTAACTCACTCTGTGCAGCTCCCAGAAGGATTACAAAGCTTTCACTCAGCCCTGGGAGAGCTGTCAGCATCCACATGCCCAACACACACACACACACACACACACACACAACTTGAATTATCAAGAAAGTTGTAAAGCAGGACATCCCTCCTGCTTTTAGGATCAGTCTCTCTCCACGAAAAGGAATTCCTGAATGAAAGCTTTTAGTCTCCAAAGATTCTACCTCCTGACCTCAGCCAAGTGTCTGGAGCCACTGGTCTCCTGGCTTGACGAAGAGTAGATGAAAAGATTTTTTACCCACAGCCACCTTAGAAAGGATGAGAAGCAAGTCCTGTGTCTCTCCTTCAGCTCCTCAAGAACTTAGGGAGGGAGCCGACAAGGACGGCCAAGTCAGCTTCAGAGCTCCCTTTCCAGTGCTCTGCTTTAGGAGCAAAGCTGACACCCGCATGGTCCTGTGGACACATTTTCCAGGCATAAAGGGTTCCGCTGCTCCCCAAACTTGTCAGGAGGAACTGGCCTTATTCCTAATGGAGGGTGTCACTGTGAGTAAGGTTGCCTCACTCTTCTTGCAAGGCTTGATCTGAAAACCAGAACCTCTCTATAGCAGGGACCTGCCTCTGACACAGGTCTGGCCTGATCCCTAAAATTCCTTCTACTCTAGCTTCTGCATCTGTGGCTGAAAACAAGGAAGATGCTTCAATGCACAGCTCACCGGGCTTGACAAAAGCCAGGCAGATGCAGTTGCTGCTGTCAGAAAATGTCTTCTAAACATGAGGTTTTTCTTAAGCTCCCAGGATATGTCAGGCCATTTGCTCACTCTGTTTCACTCTTCATCACCCTGAGATATCCCCGCATCTGTGTGGATGTCCCCAAATTGATAGAATATGTAGCTATCCCCATATCTACAAACATGGATCATCTCTCTCTCATCTTTGTATCTCACAAACCCTACCCAGTGTCTGGCCTGTAGGTGCTGCTCCATAAATATTGGCTGAGGAGAATCAAGTGGCAGAGCCAGATTTCAAACTCCTGCAGTCAGAGCTCAGGCTTCCCAAGCTGCTTCTTCACGTGCATCTTTCTTTGCCTACCTGGTCAAGCTGAGAAGTGATTCATCCCCTTCTCCTCTTACCTAAGTGGACTCTTATCTCTGAACCATCCCTCCCATATGACCAATGCCAACCTCTTCTCTGGGTAGGCATCTTGCCACAAAGTGAACTAGACAAAATCCAGGAAGCTCCCAGGCATTGTGACCAGAGGAACAGTGCTTTTCCTCCTGGAGCTGGAGGAGAATTGAGGAAGCAGCCTGAGGTCTGTTTGTCTCCACCACTGCTTCCTTGGCCAGAGTTTTACCTGTGTCCACCCCTACCTGCTGGGACAGGAGAGCCTGGGTACACCCAGCCGGGGACTCCTCTGCAGGACAGCCACCCCCAGCGCCTGTCTGGAATTTTAACCAATTGCTCTTACCCTCAGAGCCAGACTGCAGTCAGGGTGGCAGTGAGGAGGAGATGGTCCTCAGCAGCCCAGTACTCATGGGGGCAGGCAGTCCCACCTTATACTGGTCCCTTGCCCATTGGCCATCCCATGAGGGGCAGAGACCAATGGGCAGGCACCCTGCCCCTGGCAGCTGCCTCAGATTCCTACCCCAGGGAACCTGGTGCAACCCAGTTTGGGCTTGGAAAGCCAAGTGGAGCTTCAGTCATTATACTCTCAATCCCAGGCCTTGGCCCTTATTTTTGCCTCCCACTAGAGCAACAGAAGATGGGGCAAGGGTGAAGACCAGAATCAGGAAAACAAGACATTTCTGTGTCTGAAAGAGAAATATCCTAAAGTTAAAAAAATGGCCCAGTGGTCTAGAAAACCTCCTTCTCACCTAGACTTGCCATGATAAGTCAAGGGCACAAGTTACCACCATCACACCCCTGATTGTTGTACATGATGCAGAGTGAGACTTGTGTGCTTTAGACATAAAGTACTTCAGAAGGGGCAACAGTCAGAGAGGGCTGCAATACAGCAAGAAATAGAATACATCCTCCACTGTCTGGCCTGGACCCCAGATTTGGGGAAGACATTGTGTGTTCATTTTGAGAGCTTAGTTGAGGGGAAGTTTATATGGTGGTGTGAAGCAGGACCAGATTAAGACTTTTAGAGGCCTTAGATTCCAAAAGATTATGAACTTCCCTATCTATTTAATTCCAATTCAATGTAATAGAAAACTTGTACAACATGTAATATTAGAATACTATCTTTCAACATTTTCTGGTTCCAAAAATCCAAATAAGTTTCTGAAAACAACCTTTCCATGTGCATGGGAGTCCTTATTTTGTCAGTGCCTTAAGAATATGCCTAATCCACCTACTGGGGAATCCAGCTCTGGACTGAGAGCAGCCTGGAGGCTGCCACCCTCATGGGTGTTTCTAGAAGGCTTAGGCTTGAAATGACAACATTCATCACCTTGGACTCTTTCTTGGCAAACCCACATCCTGTTTTTGAAGAACAGGATGAGAGCTGTTTCTTGCAAGCCACCATTTCTGATTCATTAAATCATGATCCCAGCAAGGGCTAGGATCCTAGCAAAAATTCTACCAGACATTCAGAAATGAAATGTTCTCAGGTAGATGTTTGCCTGTCCCCAAATATACCACTTCTGCTGGCCACACAGAGCCTAAAAGTCTGATCTACAGCTTTGGTCTCCTGCTAACATGCAAATATTTCTAGAAAGGTCACATTAGGCCATAGAGCTTAGAGTCATGAGCCTCTTTCCAAGAACCCACTGGCTTAGATAAGGGGCTGTGAACATGAGATTCCAAATAGCTTACCAGATAGGTTGGACAGTGAGAAAGCACAGAGAAATTGCAACTCTCAATTACATCATTGCTTTATTTTTATTGTGTTATTCTGTTCCTTATTTTTGGTTTGTGTCTGTCTCTCCTTCCTAGAGTGTAAACTTCATGACAGTGGGTATTCAGTGTTGTATCTCCTACCCTCTAGAATAAGATCTGGTACAAGGTAGGCAATAATAGATGTTGAATCAATAAATGAGTGATCACATTTAATTTTCCCTTAGAGAAAGCTAAAATTGTTTCTTATTTTACAAATAAAGTATCTAGAGCTCAAGTAGCTTGTCCAAAGCACAGATACAAGACTGAAACTCAGAACTGTGCAACAGAAAACCTGCCTGCTTTCTAATACCTCATGTCCTTTACTCCTCCTGATAGACCATGCACCCTGATATTTACACACATAACTCAGGGTAGCTTTGAGGTGGGCCTAAAAGTATTTTCTTCTAACATTAGGAAAATGCAGCTGGCTACAGCAGGCTTCAACTATTGCACAAGGTAGAATGACTTTAGCCCCCAAAATCACTGCAAGACTGTGTGCTGGGTCTGGCTGTCAGCCAGTGACATTACGAAAGCCTATCATTTCGAGCCTCAGGGAAATCTGCCATCTACCACAAAGGCTATCATGTGGAAAGAGGCAACTCTGTGGCATACTGGTTTAGAGAGTGTAATGGAAAAACATTCAGCTAGAAATGCCTTGAGGCTAGTTTTTTTCCCAGGATGTAACTTTTACTACCTAGACTGAAATAACCAAATAAACGTGATCATTTCCTCCTGGACATCATGGTTGCAGTTCAATCCCCTGTCAGCATGTGAACTGGGATATTGAAACAGCAGGCCACATGACTAAGTTTCCCATAGTATGGTTAAGTTTTACCATAGACTTGTTGCTTAACTGTGATTTTTAAAAAATAGTCTCAATTCAATAAGTAAGCATAAACCCCTGTGTTTTTAAATATAATCTGGAAGACCAGAGCAAGACAGGAGGAAGTGCACCATGCAGCTTTCCACTCTGTCCCCAGATCCCTAGAAATGGCAAGAAAGGAAAAAAATTGTTTTATTTCTTCTGAAGACTTGGCTATAGTTGCACTTCATCCCCCAACTCAGATACTAATATAAGTAGTTGTTTTTCTACTCATGCTTTGGACTAACAATAACCCACTTCCAGCTGGCAAATAAGCAACCCACGATTCATACTTTTGAGAGCCTGTGTCCTTGGAGCACTCCTAACACCAAAATACTGTGTTAGTCAACGAATTATTGACAACAATTCTGGAAAGGCTAGAGAAGCAAAGTCAAGGAGGTGGTGTTGGCCAGAGATTAGGTAGCAGCTGCTGCCCCTGGGCTGTGGCCTATAAGCCTGTACTCATGTCTGCTCCTGCTAGAGTCTCCACTGCGCACTGAACAGCAGCCGCTGCTGACACTGCCAGGGCACTGCCTGAAACACAATAGCTTCTTCCCAATACCCTGCTTCAATCTTGCATGACTATCCCCCTTCTGCAGAATCTAAGTGAAACTCATCTGCAAGGGAGTTTAGGATATGTCATTTCAGACACCCTGATTTAGGAATACAAAGGGGATTGCAGGCATACCTTGGAGGTACTGCATGTTCAGTTCCAGCACCACAACAAAGCTACTGGTTATAGGGCTAAGTGAGTCAAATGAATTGTTTGGCTTCCCATTGCATATAAAACTTATGTTTTCACTAAACTGTAGTCAATAGCATTATGTCTTTAAAAATGTACATACCTTAATTAAAAATACTTTATTGCTAAAAAATGCTAACCATCTTCTGAGCTTTCAGCAAGTCGGAATCTGTCTGCTGGTGAAGGGTCTTACCTCAGTGTTGATGGCTGCTGACTGATCAGGTGGTGGTTGCTGAAAGTTGGGTGGCTGTGGCAATTTCTTAAAACAAGTTTGCCTCATCAATGGATTCTTCCTTTCATGAATGATTTCTGTGTAGCACGCAATACTGTTTCACAGCATTTTACCCACAGTAGAACTTCTTCCAAAATTAGAGTCAGTCCTCTCAAACCCTGATGCTGCTTTATGCTGCTTTAAGTTTATGAAATATTCTAAATCCTTTCTTGTCATTCCAACAGTCTTCACAGCCTCTTCACCAGGAGTAGTTTCCTCTCAAAAAACCACTTTCTTTGCTCATCCATAAAAAGCAGCTCCTTATTCATTCAAGTTTTATCACGAGATGCAGCACCTCAGTCACAGCTTCAGGCTCCAATTCCAATCCTAGTTCTCTTACTATTTCCACCACATCTGCCATTACTTCCTCCACTGAAGGACACCCTCAAAGTCATCCATAAAGGTTGGATCAACTTCTTCCAAACTCCTATTAATGTTGGTATTTTATCCTTTTTCCATGAATCATGAGTGCTCTTAATGGCATCTACAATGGTGAATCCTTTTCAAGTTTTCTATTTAATTTTCAAGATCCATCAGAAGAATCAGAACATATGGCAGCTAAAGCCTTATGAAATGCACCTTAAATACGAAGACTTGAAAACTGAAATGACTCCTTGACCCTTGGGCTGAAGAATGTATGTTGTGTTAGGCATGAAAACATTAGTCTCATACATGGCCATCAGAGCTCTTGAGTGACCAGGCATATAGTTAGGGAGCAATATTTTGAAAGGAGTACTTTTTTCTGAGCAATAGGTCTCAACAGAGGGCTTAAAATATTAGTAAACCATGTTGTAAGAAGATCTACCGTTATCTAGGCTTTGGTGTTCCATCTATGGGACACAAGTAGGTCTAGCATAATTCCAAAATTCTAAAATTTTCAGAATGGTAAATAAATGAGCACGGGCTTAACTCCAAGTCACCAGCAGCATTAGCTCCTATGAAGAGAATCAGCCTGTCCTTTGAAGCTGTGAAGCTATGCCTTGACTTCTTTCTATTGTGAAGGTCCTCAGTGGCATCTTCTTTCAATGGGAGGCTGTTTTATTTATATTAAAATCTGTTCCTTAGCATAGCCACCTTCATTCCTCATTTCAGCTATATCTTCTGGAGAACTTGTTGTAGCTGCTACTTCAGCATTTGCTGCTTCACCAGCACTTCTATGTTATGGAGATGGTTTCTTTCCTTAAACCTCATGAATGAACTTGCATTAGCTTCAAACTTTTCTTCACCTCTCCCAGCCTTCATAAAATTGAAGAGAGTTAGGGCCCTGCTCTGGATTAAGCTTAGGGAAAGTTGTAGCTGGTTTGATCTTCTGTCAAGACCACCAAAACTGTCTCCCTATCAGCAATAAGGCAGTTCTACTTTCTTACCATTGGTGTGTTCACTGGAGTAGCATTTTTCATTTCCTTTGAGAACTTTTCCTTTGCATTCACTACTTGGCTGACTGGTGTAAGAGGCCCAGCTTTTCGCCTTATCTCAGTTTTCAACATGCCTTCCTCAGTAAGCTTAGTCATTTCCAGCTTTTGACTTAGAGTGAGAGACATGCAACTCTTCCTTTCACTTCACTTAGAGGGCATTTTAGGGTTATTCATTGGCCTAATTTCAATATTGTTATGTCTCGACAATAGGGAGACCTAAGAAGAGGGAGAGAGACAAGAATGCTGGTCAGTGGAGCCGGCAGAAAACACATTACATTCATTAAGTTCCCTGTCTTAGAGGGACACAGTTTGTTACAGTTTAAAACAATTAACAGTAGTAACAACAAAAACTGGTAACAGATCACCATAATAAATATAATGACATATATACAAAACTAATGAAACAGCTTTATGTATTTTGAGAATTATCAAAATGTGACACAGAGACATTAAGTGAGCAAATGCTGTTAGACTTGCTTGACCCACGGTTGCCACAAACCTTCAATATATAAAAAATGAACTATCTACGAGGTACAATAAAGCAAAGCTCAGTGCAATGAGGTATGCCTATGTAATTCCTATTCCTTTTTGAAGCTAGGAGTTATCATATAACAAAGTTTTCACCTACAGAATATAAGAGAAGGTGATACGTCTACTTCCAGACTGACCCTTAAAATACTGCACTTTTGAGCCTTCAATTTCTTTTCTGCCTGTGAACTGGAGCACAGATGTGCCTGTGACCCAGTTTTCTGAGGTGGGACATGAGGGGATTATTTGTTTGTTTTTGTAAAATTACATATTTCTTCTTTTCCCCCCAAGTTTATTGAGTAATGATTGACAAATATAATTGTATATATTAAAAGTGTGCAACACACTGATTTGATATATACATTGTGGAATGGTTATCAAGATCAAGATAATCAATACCTCTACCACCTGACATAGTTAAAACTCTTTTGTGTGTATGTGTGGTGAGAATGCTTAAGATCTACTCTCCACAATCTCTAAGTATACAATATATGTTATTAACTATAGGACAGTGACCCAGTTTTGAACATACAGACAAATATGATGTTCTGGGGGATGGTGGAAAAAAACAGATGAAAGAAACCTGGGAATCCAGAATAATTGTGTGAAGCAGAGCAAGCTTTCTACCTGCCCTAGACCACTACATGAAGTAGAAATAAACTTAGTGTTTAAGTCATTATATTTTTGGGTATCTTTGTTACAACACCTTACTAATCCACATGGCATGTGGTATTCCACAGAGTTCTGCAATCAAAGAGTTTGGGAAATGAAAGAGTTCATTAAAATATGTACGTTTCCTCCCATAGGACTTCTCTGCACCTGGATAAATGTTTTCTTTTTTCCTGCATTGCAACTTGTGGGAGAAAACTGTTGGTCTCATGTATTTTCTTATTGGCTCTGAAAAACACATGTGGAAAATGCTGATTTAGATTACTTATATTTTCTCTAAATATTGTGTAATGCATGGCTAGTGTTTAGTTTGCCTTCAGAAGACCACCAAATTTAACAGAATCAAGGATGCCTTCAGTCCAACCACTTCATTTGGAGCATTTATTTCCAGGGGACAATAGGCAGTATTATAAAACCATAGAGAATATGAATAATTCCTCTAAAAGTTTGATTTTGTCTCATTGTTCTGTACTCTCATCCGAACAAATGAAAAAATGACAAAATTTTTATCTTTTGACCAGTAAAGAGTCATTCTTTTTTTTCCCTTTATTTTCAAAGGACTTCTAAAATGTACAGTAACCACAATTCATTAAGTAATTATTTCCTGAGCAGCTTGTATGCAAAGCCCTAGAGAGGCAGACACAGTGTCCACTGGGCCAGAAGTGGAAAGACAGAGTGGACCTGCTCTGGAGCACCAGGGAACATCAGCAATGATTACTTATTGAAAAGGCTCCTCCGGTTGCCCTTCGGCGGTGTGAGATGTGTGGAGATGTTCTTCATGTGAGGCCTGGAGGTTTGCGCGTTTGGCACTCTGCTGTCACCTTCCAGTGTGACTGCTTCTGTAGATTTAGAAAATGACGGAGGTCCAAAGGATTGAGAAAGCTTTGGACTGTTTCTATAGTGGGCAGCCATATAGTCAATGGTCAAAGTGTTTAAGAGGATCCAAGCAATGTGTTTTCTGATTATTCTAATAGTCAGAATCCTGAAGATTCTTCCATCCACATGTAGTTCTTACATATTCTGAGAAATGTATATATGGTGATTGAAAAGCTAATTCGAGAGACCAAAGCAGGGAAGTGTGCTGAGAGACCTATATATGCAAGACTGACTGTATGAATATGTATTTAAGTGTGAAAATATGCCATTATAAATCGGCAGAACTGTACTTTCTTTTGATTTTGTAGACATGTCCAATGCTGTTAATGCAGGAAAGGGCTTTGTGTGATTTTTAAAACTCCAATCTGTTGAATTCACAAGCATGAGGTGGATCTAAAGCAGGTTCCCCCACTTTAAGAATGGCATCCCCACAACTTTTCAAGGGTTGCTGGATGCAGGTGGAGGAGGTTTGATGGATTCACTTAGACCCCATTCCCCACCATGTTGGTCTGCAGAACCCAAAGAGACCCCGCAGCAGCTCTTCTCTGCCTCCTCTGAAGCTGGCATCACCGGCACTTCACAGCTGGCTGGTCTCAACCCTCCTCCTTCCCTACAGATATTTAGGAAGGAGGAATGAAAAGGTGGAGGAGAGAGAAATTCACTCCCAGGGGTAAGAGGGACCAAAGATAAAGCACAGGATGAGCTGAAGAATTCCAGAAATAGCAAGTCAGAGGGCCTTGTAAACTGTGGTTGGACCATAAGATCAGGAAGAGTATTGACTCCGGAGGTTGCTTCCTACTCTCCTGTAGACTGGCTGTGAGGACCAAATGCGGCTGTCTCTGTCAAACACCAGGGCCAGCCCCAGTGTTGGCACCTTTCTGAACCCTGTGCCCAGCAGCCTCTGTCAATGCATCCTCCTCACAGGGCATCCCCCCTGCATGCCTCTGTGCCTGTGCTTGACCAGCATGTCCTTCTCCTCCTTCTCCCCTGGAGACAATGCTTGCTCTAGGAGACCCAGCTCAGACGTCACCCCTTCCCTGACTGCATCAGGAAGTGTCAGTCAGTGGCAGGGTTCAGTGTGCCCACAGGATTTGTCACACTGTGTTGTGATGACCTGTTTTCTTGTTTGTCTCCCCAATCTGGGTTAAGGGCTTCTCATTCATCTCCATACCTCCCTGGCCTCTCCTGGTGCCAGGACCTTCCTTAGGAGGGGGATGCTCAGGAAACAGGTGTTGAATGAAATGAGTGAACATATGTATAAATAAATAAATATTCTCATGGTCAAAATGGAACAATGTGGGTTGTAAGATAATGCAGGTGGAAGGAAATAAGATTTTCTATGGATTTGAGAAGAACTTAATTGTGCTGTGCAAATAATTATTGTACTCTACCAATCTGAAACATATCCTATCTCTCAAGAAATATATTTCGTCATTGGACAGGTGGTGGGCAAGACAGAGTAGCCTCAAGACAAAACTTAGCTGCAATAGAGAGCCTGGCTCCACTTGTGACATCTGATGACTGACAACTTTCAAACCCCACTGCTCTCTTCCCCTTTTGCCCCACACCTGGGCAAGCTGATAAGAAAGTATGCACTCTCCTTCCTTTTTTGTACCAGAGGGGAAGTTCAAATCACACAAATCCAGGCTGCATGTGGAAACCACACTCTGGCCCCACCCCAGTCACAGTAAAAACAAAGGCACTTACCTCTCCTTTACTCAAGCCACTTCAGGCAAGCGTGGGTGCCTGCCCTGCTCCCCCCACAGAGCCTCCTCGTGTCATAGCCCCCTCACACCCTCTTGATTCCTGTGTGGCATCATTAGTCTGCTCATCAGAACCAGGGATTTTTTTTAACACCAGGGCCAGCCCCAGTGTTGGCACCTTTCTGAACCCTGTGCCCAGCAGCCTCTGTCAATGCATCCTCCTCACAGGGCATCCCCCCTGCATGCCTCTGTGCCTGTGCTTGACCAGCATGTCCTTCTCCTCCTTCTCCCCTGGAGACAATGCTTGCTCTAGGAGACCCAGCTCAGACGTCACCCCTTCCCTGACTGCATCAGGAAGTGTCAGTCAGTGGCAGGGTTCAGTGTGCCCACAGGATTTGTCACACTGTGTTGTGATGACCTGTTTTCTTGTTTGTCTCCCCAATCTGGGTTAAGGGCTTCTCATTCATCTCCATACCTCCCTGGCCTCTCCTGGTGCCAGGACCTTCCTTAGGAGGGGGATGCTCAGGAAACAGGTGTTGAATGAAATGAGTGAACATATGTATAAATAAATAAATATTCTCATGGTCAAAATGGAACAATGTGGGTTGTAAGATAATGCAGGTGGAAGGAAATAAGATTTTCTATGGATTTGAGAAGAACTTAATTGTGCTGTGCAAATAATTATTGTACTCTACCAATCTGAAACATATCCTATCTCTCAAGAAATATATTTCGTCATTGGACAGGTGGTGGGCAAGACAGAGTAGCCTCAAGACAAAACTTAGCTGCAATAGAGAGCCTGGCTCCACTTGTGACATCTGATGACTGACAACTTTCAAACCCCACTGCTCTCTTCCCCTTTTGCCCCACACCTGGGCAAGCTGATAAGAAAGTATGCACTCTCCTTCCTTTTTTGTACCAGAGGGGAAGTTCAAATCACACAAATCCAGGCTGCATGTGGAAACCACACTCTGGCCCCACCCCAGTCACAGTAAAAACAAAGGCACTTACCTCTCCTTTACTCAAGCCACTTCAGGCAAGCGTGGGTGCCTGCCCTGCTCCCCCCACAGAGCCTCCTCGTGTCATAGCCCCCTCACACCCTCTTGATTCCTGTGTGGCATCATTAGTCTGCTCATCAGAACCAGGGATTTTTTTTGGGGGGGGGTGCAGGGAGCCTTGATCCTGATGTCTGCAGGGCAACCACAGATACTAACTTGGAAAAATTTTGAAAGACACTCTGTATTTATGAAGAAAATTATTTTGCTGTTAGGAAAGGGGTGGGAGAAGGTGGCCTATTACAATAGCGTATTACCTCTCTGAAAAACTGCGAAGAACCCTTTTCTAGACAATTGTGCTGAGAAACCCCTCCAGAATTGTCGGTCCCTTAATCTCTGCCCTTTTATGGCCACACAGAGGGATTCTTTACGAACAAAGTGAGACACAGTATTTGTTTTCTTGGATTCTAAAGTGATTTTCTTGAGTCTCAGGGGAGACAGTCCTCAGATGCTTGCTAACCCACTCCACTGCAGAAACAAGTCAGGGGACTCAGCTATCCTATGCTGGGTGAAAAATCAAATCCTCTCCAACAATTCCAAAGCTAGCTAAATCCAAAACCAATTCTAAAACTAAGTAACTCCAGTGCTCAATGTGCTGGTTATTAAGCTGTGATTTCTCAGCTTCCAGCCCACCTTTCTATCCTCTGCTTCGTGGTATTGGGTCATTTGCCTTCTCTGACAGCTGTTCCCTTCCAGACTTGGCAATAGGGGAGACAGACCAGACTGGGGAGAGGTACATGCCCCTCCCTATGTGCTGGGGTTCCTCTCAGTATTTCCCCTAAGAACAATGGTTGGTTCCAGTGCTGCAGTGTGCCATTTTCTCACCACTTCCACAACTGCCTCATCACACCCCTTTGGACACTCCAGTGGGCAGTGGTCCCTCCCCAGAGTTCTGCTTCCAGCTTCCAACCTACCTTGGAGCTCCTGGGGCACCTGTCGCTTTGGGCAGCGCCTCCTCCTCAGAGGGTGAACCCCAGCCATGTGGGGCCGCCTCCAAACTCCTCCCTTTCTTCCCTCAGCCCTTGGACTGGTAGCTGCTTCTCGCAGTCAAAATCTCTGTGATACTACAATAGCTTTTTTCGCCTTTTTTAGTTCTCCAATAGCTAACAATTCTTTCCACAATCAGTATGGTGTCTCTGTATCAGTATGGTCCAGTATCAGTGACTGGACCCTAACAGTAATTCTTAGTTTTAAAATAAACTTTAAAGCTAAATAAAGAAAAAAAACAAGTTTTTTTTACTTTAAAAAGGAAAGTAATTGACAATACATAGTTCTGAAAACAATTCAAAACGAAATAGGTGAAAACCTATGATAAAAACTTCATAAAATTAAAAAACATAAAAATTGAACATCTGAAAATAAATAATTCAAAAAGTAATAAAAACGAAATAATTAAAATAGTAAATAAATGTATAAATTATAGCTGAAACAACTACAAAAAAGACACTAAAATATTAATAACAAAAGTTAAATAATAAAACGACAAAAAAACTAAAAACTAAAAATTACAATAACTGTAAAGAATAACTATGAAAAATAACTGTCTAAAAATAATTTTAAAAATCATAAAAGTAAATGTTTGCTAATTTTAAAAGTAAATTAAAACGTAAATAATCATAAAAGCTAATCTAAATATAACTGAAAACAAACTTTGAAAAAAGTAACTTTGAAAACAAAAAAACAAAATTGCAAAAACTAGCTAAACATAAATGAGAATTAGTAACTAATAAAAAGAAAAAATTTTTAAGTTACTTTAAAATTAATTCTAAAACTGACAAGTCTAAACGTAAATCTCTCAAACGTTAACTTGGACTCAACCATCTCTAAACCTGTCTTGGCGAGACTCTCGCGCCGCCAAGAGCACCTGCAGGCTCAGGCCGCGGCGCCGGCCCGCCTGCTGCCTCCAAAGGGCGCTCGCGTGCCCCCGGCGCGTGGCTTCCGCGGAGTCCTCCCCAAGCCTGGCGCTCACGCAGGCGCGTGTGGGCAGCTCGAGGCCCGCGGGCAGGACGGCGGCCTGTCCTCAAGCTCCGGGAGGGCGCCCCGCCCACGGCGGCCGGTCCGCAGGCCCCAGGCCCCTCTGTCGGCTGCAGGCTGGGTCCGGCCTCCGTGCCCACAGCGGCGTCTCCCTGGGGTGAAGGCGGCCTGGGGCGGCTCGGCGAGCCTGGGAGCCGCGGCGGTCTGGGGAGAGAGTCGGTTCTCCCGGGAGGGGCACCCCCGCCCGCTCCGCTCTGGCACGGAGACCAGTCGTCTCCCCGGCAGGGGCGAGGCAGCCAGCGGCCACCCCACCACTCCCCTTGGTTTTTGTTCGTTGTCCTAAAAATCCAAGAAGGCGGAGGAGCAAGGGCTGACAAACCCGCTTTCCTTTGCTCATTGATACTCACGTTCCCGCCTTCTTGCCGCCTTTCTCTCCCCAGATGCTTTCTCCCGTGTCCAGAAGACGTTTGGAGGGTGTCTTGTCAATGGGTTTCAGCCCCGGCAAGTTCGCTGTGGATTCAATGTGACCAAAGAAAATGACAGCAAAATGTTCTTGGGGTGAAAGGGTTATACCCAACTTTATTTTCAGGTGGCAGGTCAGTCACTAAAATCCTGTCACTCAGAGCGAGTCTGCATGCAGCAAGCCAGTCTCTGCCTCCAGGCCCCTCTGTCTGCACAGCTGTCCTCCGGGCCTCTCTGTACAGTCGTCCCACACAGCCACCCTCTGAGCCTCTGTCCTCCACGCTGCCAGCACTCCAGCCTCTGCTCTGCTCTCCTGCAGCCTTGCAGCTCTGCCACTGGGCCACGCACCCAGAGCACTGGGCAGAGCTCTTTATATAGAGTCAACAGCCATGCATTGCCCGCAGGTGAGCAGTGAGCTAGTCAGCCAGGGCCAGGTGAGAATCCTGGCCACAGGAACTCTCATTTTATCCACACTCCAACCCTCCAGGATTCTCTCCTCTCAATCTATGTGCCTTTAGTCCTCTGCAATGGTTCCTGTGCAAGGAAGCTCAAACATTGTTCTCCAGCCTCTCCAGCAAAAAGTATTGCAGACACACAGGCCCGACTCATGGCTCTGTCTCTGACCTCTGCCTCTTTGGTCTTAATGGCTGGAACTGCTGCTCTGGTTTCAGCTGTTGCCACAGCTCCAGTAAGATCCTATTTGGCTTCCTGTCTAATTTCCTTCCATCTGCTCCTGCCCGTATCAAACCAACCCACATCTGGGTCCTCATAACCCTCACAAGTACCCTCAAATTCCTCCTATGAGTAACAGGTCTTATTTCTTTCCGGGTTCTCATTGCTTCAGCTACTGTATGTGTCACCTCATATTTTGTAATCACTGCCTCAAGGCGGGCTGCACTGTCAGGGAAGACAGCTTTCCCATCTCTGATCCCGACAGAACAACTCCATCCACCCCTAAGTCCCACAGCCACCGGCTCAGCCTGAGTATAGGGGCGGAGCATAGAGTGCTCCCCAACCTGGGGAGGGGGCTGCTCCTCTCCTTGGGGAACTTTCAGCTGCTGGGTCTTTATTTTCTGTACAACCAGTGGGCGTGTTTTGAATACAGGAGGTGCCAGTGCCTCCGGCACCACCCCTCCATCCTTCCCCACCTCCTCTATTTCTGGGGCTGATGGCACCTTTCTCTCCACTCTCCTGAGTGCCTCCTCTGCTACAGCACCTCACAACAATGCCAGCTCAGTCTTCAGAAGGCCTCTTACCTTCAGCTCAATGCTTCGCAGCTGACGTTCTCATGCCACCTCTGCCTGTGCTTCCCTGAAGGGCTCGTCCTTTTCCTTGATGGCCTCTTCCTCCTTCAGAACACCTGGCAGCACTGCCATCTCGTCTCCAATGGCACCTTGCTGCTGGTGCTCTCATGCTGCCTCCTCCCACATTAATGCCATCTCCTTCCTCAGGGAATCCACAGAAGTTTGCAGCTCATGTTCTCATGCCGCCATTTCTTGGGTCTCCTCTGTAGACTTTTTTAAAACTGTGAGAGGCAGCAAACCCACAATTCCCACTGCCTCACAGGCACTCTGCTTCTCAAAGGATCTGCTTACTATACCAAGGGCCACCCCTACTGCCTCAGGTGTCACCTCCACTTGCCTCCAGTCCTGGGGTGGGGCCCAGTCCTCTAGGAGGCAAGCCACCTCAGACCACATACCCATTGGGGGATGATCCACTGTCTCCCCATTCACAGGGGCACCCTGTTGAAGCACCCCTCCCATAAGGACAGCCTGTCTTTTTTCCTTGGTCAACATTGAATCCTGCCGACTACGCCAATTGTCCAGCCAATGGGTTTCAACCCAGGGCAAGTTCGCTATTGATTCAATGTGACCAAAGAAAATGACAGCAAAATGTTCTTGGGGGTAAAAGGGTTATACCCAACTTTATTTTCAGGTGGCAGGTCAGTCACTAAAATCCCATTCACTCAGAGCGAGTCTGCACGCAGCAAGCCAGTCTCTGCCTCTGGACCCCTCTGTCCACACAGCCATCCTCTGGGCCCGTCTGTTGGCACAGCCATCCTCTGGGCCTCTGTCCTCGGCACTGCCACCTCTCCAGCCTTTGCTCTGCTCTCATGCAGCCTTGCAGCCCTGCCACTGCCGTGTTGCACCCAGAGCACTGGGCAGAGCTCTTTTTATGGAGTCAATAGTCATGTATTGCCCATAGGTGTGCAGTGAGCTAGTCAACCAGGGCCAGGTGAGAATCCTGGCCACAGGAACTCCCATTTTATCCACAGAGGGACAGGCTTCACAACTGTCGTCCAGCTGGAAAAGTCCTGAGAACTGGAAGGGACGGGACAGTGGGGCACCCTCAGCGTCGGCAGGGCCGGGTCCCAGCCAGCCAGGCTCATCTCACCCCACGCACCCCCACCCCAGCTCTCCCACCGGGTCACCCAGGATCCCAGCAGGAGCCCATTGCTGAGGAGACATAGGGCAGGGCAAGCTGGACCAGAGGGGTCCCAGCCACTTTGCAGCTCCGGTGACCTCAGCTCCCCAGGGTAGGCCTGGTCCTGGTGGGTGAGAATGAGGGAAAGGAGGGTGGGCGGGCGGAAGGGCAGGCAGGGGACACTGGAGGACAGGACTGAGGTAGGGAGGAAGTGCGTTACACTCGGAGCACTGCTCTCCTTTTCCATCTGTTCTGCGCCGTCACGATCCTCAGAGGTGTCTGTGGAGATGGACTCCCTTCTGGAGTGGCCTTGAGGAAAGAGGGAAGCATTTGGCCCTGTCTGTCAGGGAGAGGGGACGGGAGGAAGCAGGCAACACCCTCCTGTCCCCCCACCCCCAGAACCCATTCTCCCCACCTCTGACTCCTACTCTCCCTGCCGACTGCTTCACCTGGGCCGGGAGGGGGGCGGGTCAGTGATCTCCAGATTCCCTTTCCCAGCTCTGAAATTCTGTAACTGTGACGGAAAAGACATGTTCATAGCCCTACTTCCATGTCCTCCAAGGAAACAATCATTGTCTTTTTGTGCTAGATGACCTGCCTCCTCCCGCCTCCCCACCGCCCTCCAGTCTGCCCCTCTCTCTTCCTTGCCTCTTAGCCCCCACCCCATTACTAGCCATTTCCCATCTCCTTGGCAAATGTCACTGCTCTCCCCATAGGAAAATCAGAGGGAGTAGTACATTCAGCCTCTCTCTCCAGTGAATTGATTGATTAGCCGGTCAGCCACGCCATTGTGCACCTGTCATGGGCTGGGGCTGTTAGACACTGTGGGGAACAGCACAGTATTTGGTCCCCAGCTCAGCTCTGCCTGTTGGGATGTTAGGTGTTTGTCAAAATTTAAGCTTCACACAACCCCGTTTAGGGCCTTAATCCCATTTTACAGATGAGAAACTGGGATGAGAGGAATAATCACTTGGCCAAGTTCCCGAAGCAGGATTCTACAACATTCCTGCTCTCTCCCCAACCCTAGATAAAACATGGCGTCTGCCCACACACTACTCACAAGTCAGGTTAGGGAGGTGAGCACCTGCAGAAAGATCCCTGCTTGGGGCAGCCCCAAGCTGGGCCTCAGCTGACTAACCCGGCCAATCCCAGGAAGCCCGAGGGCAGGAGAGCCACTAGCAATAACTTTTTGGGGAGATTTGGCTGCCAATGTCTTCATCTTAGACAAAATGTAAATCCTCATAGACATGTAAGTAAACGACCTTAGAAATAAAAACAGCAGAAGTACATGCCTACATATACCAGCAAAAAAACAGTTCAAGCACACAGACCTTAACAAATATTCATCTTGATACCAACATTTTAAGTTAGTGCTCATTTTTGCAAAATGATTGGAGTGATTTTATTTCCCCACTGTTTTCACCTAGTATTTGAAGGAAGGTACAATCCTCAGATGCTCTAAGATACTCCCAACCCATATGGCAAAATAAATGCAAAGACTGCTATATAAAGATGGATAATATAAATAGGAATGATGGGACAGAAAAAATCATGCTGATAAGAACTAAATTATTGTTTTCCTTCCACAATTTTCAAAACTCACAGTTTGTAAAAATAAATGTTTCGGGGAACTTAGTTTCAGTGTTTGAGTTTAGAAAACTTTGTTGTCGTTTTGCTTTACAAAAGTTAAATGAGTCTATTAATAAATGAACTCAGTAGAGAGTTTAAATTATACTAATCAGAAAACACTTTTTTTGGTAAATTACAGACGTTGAAAACAAAATCGGAAGATCGTTTTGCTCCAAATCTCTTTTCCCTTCTTGTCCAGTAGGTGGCAGAAGGGAACCACTCTGGAGCCTACTAGTTTGGTGGAAGTTCGTTCCACTACAGATTTTAATGGCCAAACTACATTTTTATTTTGGTTCCTTCCAGATTTTTCTCTCATCTAAGGGAAAAGAAAGGTAAGCATTGTATGTGCAAGCTTTAGGACAATTTCTAGCATATAAACAGAGTAATTTGGACTGGGGAGCTGGAAATGCCTTAAAGAAGCTTCCTGTTCCCTGCCTGAGGGCCTGAACACAGCTTTCTCCTGTTGGCCTGGAGGGATATTGGATGATGTACCATTGTGCTAACATGAGTGAAAGTATCTGAAGCCAGATGCTGTGCTAGGAGCTCCATCTCACTGACTCTTCACAGGGAGACTCTCAGGTGTCACCTCCATTTTGCAGAATACAAGATTAAGAATTCAAGGTATACTGCGGGTAGGTAGCTTGTCCAAAGGGACAGAGTTGGACTTGAGCCTGGATCTCTAAGAAAAGTCCTGATCTACCTACCCCATTAGCAACCTAGATGCCAGGAAAGGAGCCCTTTTGCAAAGTTTTTTCTGTGAACCCCTGTTTAAACTTGTAAATTTAGACCAGTATATCTCTGAAGTGCCTATTTCCTTTGCAACCAGTCTAGGGCCAAGAGGAATCACAGTTACTAATCATTGCTAAGAGGGAATTGGTATTTATCTTATAAAAATAAAAAATGTCTAGTAATAAGCTAAGAAAATCAGTAATCAACATGAAGTCTCAAAATATTTGGTAGTTCTTTTAAAGGAAAAAATGGTATTTACCCCAACAAGCAATTTTTGCATAACTTATACAGAAGCTTATTTCAGGCTGAAAGAAAAAAAATTAGCATACAAAATAAAGCCAGTATTTATTTTACATACACACACACTTGAGTAAGCAAGTAAGTATAAAAGAAACAAGGCTACTGCTCACATAAAACACTATAACCATGTATTTAAATATACATAAATGTAAATATTTGATTTTTTTCCTTTCATACATTCAGAAAACATTTCTGCAGTCTTGGCTTTCTTGGCCCTGTTATCCTCTCCCATTTCTCTGCCCATTGCCCTGTGTGCCTTGACTCTGGCTCCATCCAAGTTGTGTCAGTTAATTCTTTTAATACAGTGTTAAGCATTATCAGCTTGCCCACCATTCTTCATTCCTCCATGTGTGCACCAGAAGAGAAGAGAGATGAGCCCAAGCCATATAAGTTGGTGGGGAAACTCACTCATCCCCTGGACAGCTATCACATTCTTTCTTTGTTCCAGGGCTGTCCCCACTACAGGAATAACAGCAGGTCTCAACCCTGGTTAAGTTATTGAAGTTTTCTGTGGTGAGAAAAGATGCCATGTGGTGAAGAGCAGAATCCCAACATAAACTCCTGGGGTCCTGATGCAAATCTATGCCATCTGCAGCAGAGTGTCACTCAGAAAAGAGACCTTCACGTGCTGCTGAGCCCTGGTAGAGACTGAGCACCTAACCATAGGACATTAACTGACCAAGTGTCCAGATCTGACCATCAGGAGCTGGGTTCTGTCAACTCACCAAGCCTTAAGGTTGGGAGGAACCAGCAGCATTCCATCACAAGACAGAAGTGATGAATCTGGGTTGTAGTGTCAATGCAGAAGGGATGCTTGTACCTCAGCCTAGATCTGTTACAGATCCCTGTCCTGTATGCTGCCTCCAGAATCCAAATAGCCTGCCAGTCATTCTTCTTTCTTTTCAATTGTGTGGGATGTGAGATAATGTGTCCTAATTTGGTGGGGATAGGTTATGTCCCAGCTTGCCCCTTACCACTGGATCCCTAAAAACTTCACTTATGTGATAATCCCCTGAATTTCCATTTACCTCTTTTTTTGCCCTCTCGAATGCATATGTCTTACCCAGCCCTCCAATGTATGTGCCAATTCTTGTTCATCTGATCATTAATATAGACTAATATGATCTTCTGCAGAATGTCCAGATAATCCAGGTCTTTATGGGAGAGGGCAGAGTTAACATAGCTCAGAGGCAGTGTTGTAAATGTATACTGTGCCTTGTCCTATGTGAATGTGAACTGCTCTGGTCTTCCTTCCTGGTAATGATGGGAGAAAATACATACAGTAAAATCAATGGTTGTATACTATGTATTCAGTCCATTTAAATCTTATCTAGCAAAGATACTGTATCTGGCTCATAACCCCAATTGGGAGGCAACTACTTGGTTGAGGTTATGGTAATCCACTGTTTTCCTCCAGGATACATTTAGTTTTTGTAAGGGCCATACTAGTGAATGGGATAGTCATATGATGAGGGCCACCATTCCTGCTTACTTTAGATGTTTAAGGATAACACTAATATTTGCTGTACCCCCTCATATAGTATTGTCTTTTATTTACTATCTTGATGGAGAGGGTAGGATGACTTCACAAGCTTCTACTTGGCTTATCCCACAGGCCAAAGAGCAAGTGTGGGTTATGCCAATTCCTAAGAATGACCATTCCAATTATTCCTGTGGGAACCAGAGAAATGACCAGCAGCTAAGTCTGTAGAGCCAGTGGGTCTACCATGAGCCAGATGTGGGCCATAACTCCATTTATTACCTGACCCCTTATTCACCCACTCCAATGGGGGGAGTTTTAAGGAAGCTTTGGGTCCCAGCATATCTCAACTCAGACCTGTATCCAACAGTCCTTGAAAGGTTTTGTGTTCCTCTTTCCCTCAATGTATAGTTACACAAGTAAATGGCTTTGGGGAGGACTGAGAAAATCACTCATTACTGCATATTTTTGCCATGGTGTTTGCAGGGTCCTTTTTCATGAGGACCTAGCTTCTCCATCATTCAATGGAATTTGGAGAACTGGCCCAGGTCTGGAAACTTAGAAAGTGATAGTGACTCGTTATCACAGCTACAGTCAGGCTCCTGGCCATACATCTTTGATTAATTTTGGTTGTATAGATTGAGCAATATTCTTGTTTGCTGCTCATCTGTCGTGTCCCTCAGGGTGCTGTGCTGTAGTAACTTCCTGCTTAGTTCTCTGTCAGTCAGACCTCCCTGACTGCCTCTGACGTTGCCACTCCTGATGACAATTTTTCCTACCTTGCTTTGGAGAATTAAGCATTGCCATCTGGCTTCTATTATTTTGCAATTCTGTTGTCCCCACTGCTATCAGAAAACCCTGCTCTCTCCCAACAGCTCCTGCCAACAGCCTTGGCCTACAGAGGACAGCTTACCACTGAGCTTGTTAACAATGCTGGAGCCCCCCATTAGCACATTCCCTATAACTTTGGACAAGAGCACTGTATTCCAAGAACAGAGTGGGCTAATGGATTTTTGGCCTCACATAGTGTATTCAGTTTCTCTGAATCTTGATTTCTTTCCCCAGTGCTTGCCACAACAGTTCTGGTATTTCTAATTTGCTTAGTGTGGGGCATTGCTTTTTCCAAGCTTCCAAGTGCCAACGAAATACTATCTCCTGGAGTCTTTGCCAAGATACTAAATCCTGTGTCATAACTTCATGCTCCCTTTGTCAACTTTATACTCCATCCCCCTTCCGGCAGCACAGGTCCATATATGCTCTCCTGTTTGCCAGTTCATGTTGCCCAGTTGCAGCTCCTTCAGCATGCAATGCTTTTCTACCTTTACCTGGCCCATCATTTCCCCAGATAAACTATATTGTGGCTTAATCCTGGCTATTGCTCTAGTGGTCTAGAGTGAAGAGTGGAATGGACTCTTGAGAGGCAGTGGGAGATACATGTTGTCGTACAAGGCAGAAACCTCTACCTTGATGTAGAATCAAGGTAGGAATTCAGTAATTCAGGAATATGGAAATTTAAGATTTTCCAGTGCATTGACCAACTGACCCCATTTTAAATTTCAACATCCCATTTTTTCCCAATCAGGGCCTTGATGTTGGTGTAGCAGACTAGGTAGTGTTGAGAATTTAACCTAGTCTAGCCAATAGAATTTTCTGCCTTCTTCCTGCAGGATATGTGAATCATTTTATATGCTGCCAAGTAGACTCTCTGGCTTTCAGACTTGGTTTGATATTGCCAGTTAATCACCCTCAGTCTTTCATTGTCTTTCTTCAATAAATTAATGAACCCCCTATCCTCCACGAAATGGCCATCTAATTCCCAAAATTCTTATACTTACTGTTTCCTAAAACCCAAGATACTCCACCTGTGGTTGTACTCACTTCTCCAAGCATAACATTCCAGTTTGCCACTGGTGGATGTTTTAACAACTGCCATAGTGAGACAGGGACCATGGGCTTAGACAGAGTAGGGTGAGGGCCTCTGGAAAAAACAAAAGCAGGATAATCTATTGTGAGATTTGCTTTGGCCTACTGAGGGGGGCTCAGCTTATTTTTCTGACTTTACCCAAGTGCTGCTTTTCTTCGTCCAGCTCTAAACAAATGATTTGTTGCAACTTAGGTACAACTTAGGTAGCAAGGTAGCAAGCAACCCCAAAACAACATAGTAAAAACAGGAAGGATTCCATCTTAAAACCCAATTAGTTAAAAAAGTTTAACAGACAATAACTCAGCCCACCTTGGGAGCAAAGCAGGCAGTCTTGAGTGATATGCTCCCAGACCAAGAAGCTAACCTGGGAGGAAATCAGAGAAGTAAAATTCTTGTAAATAATGAGGAATAATAATAAAAAACTTAGTGTTTCTTCAAAGGTATTTGGGACCTCTTAGCAGGTGTACATTCCTAGCCCTTTGTCTCTCAACTGCCTATAAAACCCCTAGACAAGGCACCACCCCAGGGTTCTCTTGTCCCCTCCTTGCCTGCACCAGGAGCTCTGTCCTGAACCAGGAGCTCTGTCCTTTTACTTTCTCTCTAAATAAAAGCCTCTGCCTTGCTCTTCTACCTTGACTGTTTGAGGAGTTCATTCTTCGGCTCCATGAACAAAAACCCTGATAGCATTCCAGGAACTATTAGTGCTCCACTACCACCAGTGACAGGGTTCTTGTTAGAGAACTGGTAGGTGATCCAGAAGCTGGTAGGTGATCCAATCTTAAAATTTCATCTTAGAGTCTTTTTCTAGGACCACTTCTTGTACCAAGCATCATGGGTTGAATTCTCTAGGAAAAAAATTCTGGGATTTTAAGTTCTGTATGCAGGTTTTTTATTGGGTGGTACCCTCAGTACCAACACCTGAGAGGCATTAAGAAAGCAGGGTTGGGCAGAAGTTGTACTGAGGCAAATGTAACGGAAATCTGGAGCTGGGACAATCCATGAGTTGTGCCCCCTTAAGGATGGGGGCTAAGCCTCTATTACCCCCCTTAGATTCATCCTTGAAGGTGGGATGCCCCCAGGGAAGGAATGTAACTTTGGACAAAGTGGTTCTGTTTGGCTGCAGTCAGTTGCTGGAGAGGACTCAGCTGAGAGCTGTCAACTGTTGACACTCCCAGCAGTTGGGAGAGTAAGTGTATCAGTCCTGAAAGGTGGCACACCAGGGCATCCATTACACCTGCATTTTCTGGTTTTAAAATTGACAGTCATCCACTATCTAATCCTCCCACTCTTGACAGCAGCCTTTTATTTTCCATCCAACTCTTAATTTTCTAGTAAAACATAATCCAGGTACAATTTCATCTTATCTGTTTCAAAGGGTAACATAACAAGTAGAGCTGTATCCAACTTTTGAAAGCCCTCTTTTCACATTAAAAGTTTCATATATGTCCATGTAATAGTACCATAATAGTAACTGAATGAATATCCATTAAAAAAGTAATAAAAGTTATTACAAATTAACTAGTTTAATCACATGAGCACCCATATATAATACAAAAAAAATTATATATCTTTACAGTTCTTGTTCTGCAGCAGAGGCGGTGGTTAGGTATGCACACAAACTCATAAAATACCTGAGTTAGGATGCTACCTATAGTTGTGTTCAAGAATGGAATGGCTGCCTGAGGTGTGGGCAAGTGTAGTTTGAAATCCAGCCAACCTCTAATCACCAAGTCTGGCCCCACCAAAGGTCTGAATATACCAAAGGAACATGACACTTTTTCTAAACCAATTGCCTAAAAAGGCTCTTGGTCTCTTTTTTCTACTTGGATAAAGGCATCTCTATGCTAGCCCTGAACCTGCCCAATGACTAATTACAAGTCTTAACTCGAGTCAGACAGTCCTAGATGTGGAGTCTGGCTTTGTTGCTTGTCTGCTATTAGCCTTATCCATTTAAGACTCAGTTTCCTTATCTGTAAAATGGGATTATATCTCCCTCTGTGTGGTTGTGGTGTTTGTGGAGGTAGCAAATGAATACCACCTAATACCACCTATTTTAATAGATCTTTATCAACTTTGAGATATAATTTACATACAAATGCATGCCTCAATGAAGGCAGCATTTTAAAAGGGTCAGTATTCAGTAAGATTTAGGAAAAATTCAGAGCGAACAGCTGTGGGTAAAGATAAAAACGGTGGCCTCAGACACTTACCTTAAAGCCCATACTGCATGTACCCTGGTGGGGTTAAACATTATCATCAATCTTTTAACTTTTATTCAGCGTTTGCACCACAAGAGTTTGAGGCAGGGCTCTACGATTAGATGACCATAGTTGCATGACAAGGTCCACCCAACGGGCGGACACTAATACAGGTATAAGCCATACGCACTCTTAAGGGCAAGGAAAGGCATCGTTTTCAGACGTCTCAGCCCTTAAAGCACACAGTTTTCTCCGCGAGGACGAAGCCGGGTGGTGGGATTGGGGGACCGACCAGGTACCTACACTACACAGGGATCCGCAGAGTGCCTCCCTAATCTCCCTCCTTCTTAGGAGTGAAGCAAGTCGCAAGCCGAAATGTGTTGCTGCAGAAATGTCAGTGAGACGCCCCTCGACTACCCCGAAGTTCACAGTGTGGTACAGGTTCTGCAGACTCATACCTAAAATGAGAGAGTGCGCCTCTCAAGACCTTGGTTGACCGCGGGTTCCCAAAGGCCCCTCCCAACCGCCCTGGCGGGTGAGCGCAACCGCGCACGGTCGCTGAGCACGCCGGGTACGCGTCTCCAACGGCTGTCGCCCTCAAGTTCCCCGGCCCTACAGCCCACGATCGGAGGAATGCACCGAGACGAGATGGAACTTTATTTACAAGCCCTTAGTCATTCTCGTTCCAGTCTATGGATGCCTAAAAGCCTATTTGTCTTCTCGTCTGCTAAATACAACGCTACAGACGTAAACGACTGCCTCAAGCACGGCGTGCGGCGTACCGGAAGTGACGCAACACGTGTCCGCGTATTCCCGCTCTGCCGTTCGCCTGCGGTTCCGTGGCGGGAACTGGGGCGACTGCTCACGGCGGCAGCTTTGTCGCTCGGCCCTGCCACTCAGGCCTCGCTGAGCCTGATATTCTCAGATTGGGGAACGAGCTAAGATTTAGCGACTGCCTCTCCTTTTCCCTCTCCCGGAAACGCCGGGAACGAGCCGACAGCGTTCTGGCTTCCGACACGAACGACTGAAAGACCCTGGAAACAGGCGCGGGGACGCGGATAAAAGGTGACCAGCCAGAGAAATCGCGAGGGGTGCTTTTGCCTTTCTCCACTCCTGCAGCCTGGATGCCCCTGTGATGTCTTCCATCTCCGTCTGGCAAGCACAGGGGCCGGACCAGCGCTCCAGGCCACCCACTTTCTCCTGCTCCTTCTGCAGCCCTTTGTGAAATGGTGGCTGAGTTCTGCAGATTTCAAAGCCCTGCTGAGGGCTCTGTTACTGTTAAGTAGCCTGTGGCAGGGGTGGAATAACTCAGTAACATTAAAAACCTTGGCTGTTTACAGATAGTAACTTATCTTACGTTTAGAATATATACCCATATACCAAACACAGAACTGTGTGCACAATTCTTTTTTTCTTAATGTTATTTGTTTTTATTGAGGTGTAATTGACATACAATATTATATTAGTTTCAGATGTATAACATGATTGGACATTTGTATGCATTATGAAACAGCCACCACCTGTCACCATACAAAGTTAATACAGCGTTATTGACTATATTCCCATACTGTACATTACAGCCCCATGACTTATTTTGTAACTGAAAGTTTGTACCTCTTAATCCCCTTCGCCTATTCCATCCTCCCTAACCCTCCCTTCCTTCTGGCAACCACCATTCTGTTCTCTGTATCTATGAGTCTGGGTTTTGTTTGTTTGCACATGTAAGTGAAATGTGATACTTGTCTTTCTTATTTCACTTAGCACAATCAATACTCTCAAGGTGTATCCATGTTGTTGCAAATGGCAAGATTTCATTTTTTGTAGTTGAGTAGTAATTCAGTTTGTGTGTGTCACACACACCCAAACACCTATATTCTTTATCCATTAATCCATCAATGGACTCTTGGGTTGTTTCCATATCTTGCCCGTTGTAAATAATGCTGTGATGAATATAGGGGTGCATGTATCTTTTTGAATAAGTGTTTTCGGTTTTTTCAGACATGTACCCAGTAGTGAAATTGCTGGCTCATATGGTAGCTCTCTATCTTTAACTTTTTGAGGAACCTCCATACTGCTTTCCATAATTGCTGCACCAGTTTACATTCCCACCAACAGTGCACAAAGGTTTATGCGATTGTTTTATTATATTTAGTTGCCTTATGGAATAGGTCTTTGCACTTTTTACATAAGGGGAAGCTGAGTCTCGTAAGTGGTAATTGAGTCACCAAATATTATGGAGCATCTGTCATATACCAGTCACTGTTCTAGGCACTTGGCAATACAGCAATGAAAAAAAATAAAATTGTCACTAACGCTGGGAACTTCCAGGCAAGCTAATGATGCTTTTCTACCCCCAAAACAGCCTACTGGCTGCCTAGAAGAATATATACCTGAATGTTAATAGTGGTTATCTTCTGGGTAAGATTTTGTATTAATTTTTAAAATCACTTTCTGCATTGTTTTTATTTCCAGTGAGCATGTCAACCAAAAAACACCTGGTTCCATTTTAACAATGGAGTCCCTGACCCACCCCTCCCCACAAAAAGGCCTTTGAAGGCAGTAGTCCTTGCCTCTGCCAGTAAAATGGGCTCTAGGTCCAAGAAGTGAAGGTTCTCATTTGTGGCTTCAGCGCTTCCAATTGCTGAGTCCATTCCAGGGTCGGAGCTCAAGCTAGGCCCATGACTCATATGGAAGAGACTGTAGAAGCCCATGTACAATTGGGCCTTGAATGACATAATAGTTATCAAGAAGTTTGGAACTCTTAAAAATTTTTGACGTAAGATTTTTTTTTTGTTCCATATTCCCTCATTATAAAAAGATTCTAAATTCCTTAAGCACTTTGGCCTCTTTTTTGCCCCTGTAGCCCTCAGTACACTGCATTCAGAGGGTGGTAGATCATGGAGTGATGTCCTTTATTAAGTAATTGAATATCTTTGCACAAGGTTGAGTGTAGTTTCAGGCTGTACTTCCACATAATGGTTTCAAAAGAGCTTTTCCTTTTCTGTCATGCACCTGGTCAGGGTGAAGTAACCATGCAGGCTTTTCTAAAAGGCACATCTATCGGTATGAAACCATCAACCAAGGATCGAGGAACAGCTGCCACTGCTGGAAGCAGTGGAGAGAACAAGAAAGCCAAACCTGTTCCATGGGTGGAAAAATAGTAAGAACCCTTGTGTTTCTGTTGAACTAGTTAATAAATTATCTCTCTAACTAGTTTTGGTCACTTTTTTTTACTTAAGGGGGGATGATTTGCTCTGTAAAGATGTCCTTGAAAATCACCTAATTGAGTCATAGAACCTAAGAACTAAAAGGGACCTTAAGATGATCTAGTTCAGTTCTGTTATTTTGTAGATGAAGTAAGGTCTTTAGAACTCAGGTCTTTGGTTTTAGATGCTGGGATACAGCAGTAAAGAAAACAAAGTTTTTATAAGCTGACTCTAAGCTATTGTTCAAGAGTTCTACTTAAATCAAAGTAGTCTCTTTCCTTTTCGTTACTGATAGGTAGAAATTGTTTGGTTTTTGTTTTTTTTATACATCTTTGGCAAAAACAACACTTGAAGTGACACTTAAATTTCAATCAGCTAACAGATATTATGACAAGTAGTTGTAACCCCTGGTGTAGCCTCAATTACTACCAAGCATTTGTAGATTATTTTGGGGTCAAATAAGGCCCTCATATGTTTTATTTGATACCAAAACAATGCCTTTAAAAATGGGACATTTTACATAAAAATCTAGGTTTTTAAAAAATTAAATTGTACAAGGGGAAAAAATCTAGATCTTCAGCTTCTCAAGAGATTGATTTAGCAACACTAGATCCAAGTTCTCACCTGCTTCTCATTCTGGAAAAGTCGTATGTTCCTCAATTAACTATAGTCCCTACTATTTTCTCTTGCCTTACACTCTGTGTTCTTCACCCTTGTTATCTGCCTGGCTCTGCAGATATTTGAATATGAAACCCTGGTTTATAACATATACTGGTTTTCCTAGAAAACATCATATGACAAAATTCCTACCTGGAATTGACCTGATTGGTCAGAAAAGTATAAATCAGAGAAGAGCTTTTGATTGGTGAACTAAGTATAAAGGCTGATCTTAGGGTTGGGAGTATAACTTTATTCCAGCTTCTCTTAATATCACTAAATAATATGAGATGAAAATTATATGTTATTATCCTTCATATTGGTTAAACTTGTTATTTTGTTAGCCTCAGTGAAGTGGGTAGGTATGCATTTTTTGTGCAGTTAAGTGATAGAAGAAATTGGTATTAAACAATTAACAACATAATAGCTATATATATGTAACTATTAACCAAAATAGTTAACTACCCTGAGGTTACTAAATAATTCTCCCTTTTCAGCTTAAGTGATGATTTTATAAAACTATAATATTCCTTTCTAGGCAAGTGTTCACTTTACATTTTTACCCAGTTGGCATTTCTGGTGTAATAAAATAAAGTCATCTTGCTTAACATAACAGATGTAAACAACACATCTGGAAATGTGAAAAATGTCTTCAGTCCTTCAGTATGTATTTGCTTAAGGTAAATATAAAAGGGGGTTCCACCTACTTCTAATTATGAAAGTTTCTCATTTCATTACTATAATGAGAATTATCATTGGTATTTTAGCAAGAGGAACACTTAAGACTATTCTTTGGCTACTATAATATACTAAATAATCTCTCTCGCCTTTTTTTTTCCAGTCGCCCAAAATGTGTGGATGAAGTTGCTTTCCAAGAAGAAGTGGTTGCAGTGCTGAAAAAGTCTTTAGAAGGAGCTGATGTGAGCAGCAGATTGATGTTTAATGTCATTGGGAGATTTTAGACTTAATTTATTCACCCTCTTCCTTCCTTTATGACCTCCTGCCCCCTTTAAATTCTAGGCTGTATATTCAGTCGGCCCTTGATAACAATTTGTACAATGGATGACTAGTTCAACAAATATTTCTTGTGCATCTCATAGTCTCTCCTAGGGCATTCTTATATAGTACTCACGTATAGACTTTTTGAGTGAGACACACTGGTCCCTTTGCTCATAGTTTATGTTTTGGTGGGGAGATACAGAATAAACATGTTAGCCAAATAAGAGAATTATAGATAATGACATGCACTAAAAGAAGAGTGAGAGATTCTTTGCAAGTATAATTGCCCACCTAATTTTTAGAGTTGTTTCAAACTACAGTACAAAAAAATTGAGTATTTATTCTGCTTCTGGCAGAATAATGTCTCCTGTGATATGTGGGTTAAAATGTCCTTGAAGTGATTTGATTTGCAGTTTAGATTATACAGTTACAAGATAAACCCATATGAAGAATTAGCAGTTTTAAACTGTTTATGATAAAATGCTTTAAGAGTTCAGTGAAGGAAGGAGGAAGGTTGCAGGTGAAAGTGGGATAAGGTTTTTGCTTTTTTCCCAAGATTTGCTTTCCTCTCAACCTGGCTGTTTTGAATTAGAGATTCTTTTGGGTTTTGCTGCCATTATTCTCTTCCTAGAATTACACTACAATA